GGGATCGAACCGGCGACCTTCCGGTTACAGATAAGATAAGATAAGCTTTATTATCATTGTAAGCACAAATAAACAACAAAATTGGAGGCACTGCTGATGTTGGTGTATACAGACAGACAAACATAAATAATCATACTTTTCAAATAAAAGAGTAATAAAAATATTCTCTGTACTATCATCAATAGAAATAATAAATAAATAGATAATAATGCTACGGATTGCAGCTTTAATGGCTCCGGTAGGCAGTTGAATAGATGGATATTATAGAGGTATTTTAACTATTGTATTTTGCACTTAAGGTAGATCTTGCATAGAGATCAAACATGAACTTGTTTGTGCATGCGTACCAGAGCATGAAACTTAAGTGATGTCACTCAGTATAATTAAATATTCATATTATTTTAATGCATTATTATGAAAAAATGTTTTTCTGACCACTGTTGATGTCTGGGCTCATCGTCATTCATCAGGATTGGGTATTGATAACATTTTTATATCAATGCCAAATGAATAAATAATATAAAATCCTGCTTGTAAACATGAAACCATCGCTAAAAGCTTGGAGGCTTACCGTTACAATGAATTGGACATTTTGTAACTGTTTCTCAGTCCCACCTGGCTCTCGATTCCCTTTTCTAGTCGGTGGTTTTACCTCTTGAATTTAATTGCCCATGCGTGCGTGGCAGTCACAGTTTCAGTGTGACCTGTTATTTGTTTGCTGCAAACAAAACAGACCTGAGACAAAAACTCATTTAATGTATTAAAGAAATAAAGACAGGAGAACCACAGGTGTGAATTTTTCAATTAGCCCTTATTAGGTGAATGATGGACAAAGTGAGTGTTGTTTTCCTCGTACTCGCCCCGTGCCCGTTTCTCCCTCATGTTCTCCTCTCAGTTAAAACTCACATTTTGATCGTATTTGGCCTTGATGTTGATTAATGCATGCCTCTGTTCCACACTCATTACCCTTCTCCTGTCTCCACCTCCTCTTTTCTGTCTCTCTCCTTTAACTTTGTCCGTAATCAAACAATGACAGCTATTTAGTCAGTGTTAATTCTAATTCACAGCTTTCCTTCCTTTCCACTGTCACAGTTGTTAATTATCACAGAAGGAAAAGCACCCAAGAGGGTGCGAGTGGAGCTGCAGACGCCAGTTGTTGCGCTTGCACCACAACCTTTCAAAGCAGCAGGACTTCAGAGAGCTTTTGTGATTTCTTAATTTATCACAGAGGTTGTTTTGCACGAGTGCTGGATGACGGGAGCCTTGAAGCTAAAATCTGCTGTCACACCCCGTAAATGAAGAAACCTTTATGACTTTAATACTTACTTCTTACTTTTCTAGGTGCCCTAAACTGCCTCCTTCCTAATTCTTCAGCTATTTTCTCTTTTCTCTAGAGAGAAAGTCAGCTTGTTCAGAAAGAGTTTCTTGTGTCTGTATTCACTTCTTGTTGGTTGCTTCCTGATTCTCCTTTTGTCACCAGAGACTTGTAGACATTTTACTCGAATGCACCTCATAATTTTAGCCAATTTGATGTCCATGTTTCCTCAAATGACTTCATAGCTTAACATTGTTGTTGGGATAGACTGTAGAACTTGCCTACAGTATTGTGTAGAAGTCTCCTCCCATTTCTCTGTGTATTGGGAAATAGCAGTTTATTGAAATGTGTGCAAGTATAAACTGGAGTTTGTAAAATTAGAAAGAGTTAAAAGTCAGTATTTTGTGTGAACACCTTTACTCTTAACCACAGCCTGAACTCTCCGAAACCTCTTTTCCACTTGCATCTACTCAGCTCGACTCTACTGGATTCTACTTGGTTTTTAGGGTTTTTCATTAGGTGCTCGTTTTTAAGGTACAAAGTTGGCTGGGGTTGCAAGCGAGCCGAGTCTAGCCAAAAATGTGATATCAACAGACTTCCAGGAAGTGATGTCACTGGATGAGTCATGATAGTGACTCTGTCACAAGAAACAAGCCGAAGCAGAAATAGAGAAGTACTTTTGGGCAGCTCTGTTCCTCACAGTTTAATTATTTGACGAATTCTGTGAAAAGAATTCACTCATAGGAATGGACTGAAAGCACTCAATGAGCCTTTGAGCAACACGCTTTTAAGCCGTTTTACAGATCTAAAAGCCCATTAGACTAGGGAGACAGATATTTCACTGCCTTATTCACCTGCAGGTCTATAATTTAAATGCTCTGTTACTTAAATATGGGAACTAATATTCACTGAAACAAGGCAGCAACTCCATACTTGTCTTTAAAATGATGTAATTCACAAGTTGTTTGGCTAATACCATCACGCCATACTACTCCTTGAGGTTAGTCTGGTACAAACGTGACAGATTGTGCAAGCTGGTCTTAGTTGGATCTGCTGTAATCACCACTTTATTATACAGCGACAGTTACTCTGAAGGAGTCCTTCCATCATGCCGCATGCTGGGATCCTGGAGCCTGTTCACCTGCTGCTAAATTTTGTTTTTTAAAATGTGTCACTTTATAACTGAACTCTTTCAAAACAGAGGTGGCGATAAACCTGAGTTAATGTGAAGTAGTTGTTATTCACCAGGGTGTGCTGGTTACACGCCTCATGCTGTCAGAATTGATAGTTGTTCTCTGCCGCTTGTGTCTCTAGGTAGTCAAAGGCCTGACGTATCTGTGGAGCCTGAAGATACTTCACAGAGGTGAGTAAGGTAGTGCACGGCCTCCGTGTTATTAAAAAAGAGCAGGGTTGATAAAGACAAGCCGCGGTGTGCTGATGTTGCAGTTCTATGAAGCAGTTTGTCTCCACAGATGTCAAGCCTTCCAATATGCTGGTGAACACCCGAGGACGAGTCAAGCTCTGTGACTTTGGTGTCAGCACACAGGTACACTGATTTGTTTGTGCGAGCATGAGTGAGAGAGGAAAAGAGAATGGGAGATAGAGGAGAGAAGAAAAAGAACCGTTGTCTGTGGCTTCAAAAACCTCAGTCCTGTGCTCTCGGCGTGTCTGTGTGCGCGTGCATATGGTCAGCTTGTCAATCACCACATTCATTTTCCAACTCAAGACATCAGCGCTGTCCCAGGGGTCTTCCTCTCACATTAACCCCCCACCTCCATTGTTCTGCAGCCTCTCAGAAAAATCACTTGTTATAATTATGACCCACACACACAACGCCAAGCCTCATTGATATGTATTCAGTAGATTGGGGGAAAGCGTGGGTGACGGACAATGGAGTGCGTGTGTGCAAGTCTGTGTGTGCATCAGTGTGCGTTTTGTAGTGTAATCATCAGGGACAGACCTTCACCGCTCCCCAAAACATCAACCTGAGGTCTGCTTTTTTAACACACATCGCTTCTGTGGTAAATTGTTATTCATTTTTAACCTCCACTTCCTTGCTCAACTCCAAGGTGAATTTACACCCTCACTGACTTGTCTTTTTAACTATATTTTTCTGTTAAAGTCTTTTCCACTCATGTACATGCTTCCTCACTCTTTCACGCTCCAGAGGGCATGCTCACAAAAAAAGGAGAGAAAAAAAACAGCCTTAAGGGAACCGACACTCATTATCACAGTCCTGTCATTGATGGCATGTGCCATTGTGTCCACATGCACAAACTCACTAATGTCTCCTTGTCTCACTCCTGTTCCTTTGTGCGATGGTTTAGTGCAGCCCAAGATATCGACCTGACATGTCAGTAGGTTTACGTAAAGAAACTTCATCCCCCTTGTTTTTCTTTATTCCTTGACATGACCTTAGTTATATCAAGTTATTTATGCTGTGATCATTTTAATACTTTTTATCGTTTACTCACTTAAATGCTGTTTTATTTGCAGCTGGTGAATTCCATCGCCAAAACATACGTGGGAACTAATGCATACATGGCGGTGAGACACCACTTGATTTTATTCTCTGATACTTTTGAATTTGTTTTAATGCAGTTATACGTTGGTCTCTGACTTTGTTTTTACACTTGTTTGTTTTTGCTTCATAGCCGGAAAGGATATCAGGAGAACAGTATGGGATTCATGCAGATGTCTGGAGTGCGGGCATCTCTTTCATGGAGGTATAACAGTTTTTAAGTGACTTTATGATACACTTAACTGTTACATGAGCGGTCCATTTAATGGCGGATTTAGCTGCAGTGTAATTAAAATGTAATGGGTGGTATCGCATGTGTTAAGTCTTGTCTGTTGCTCATTGTGTGTGGAGGTTTATCAGTGTCACTGTTCTTCTCTCCACATAGCATCGATAAAGTGCTTAACTGACAGTGTGTGTTCAAATAACATTTTAATTTCAGCATCCACCTCCCCGGTCTTTTGTCCTCCTGCTGACATTATTGATTCTCCATCTGTTTCTGTCTCCAGCTCTCCTTCAGCACTATAATAAACGATTGTGGCTTCTGCCTCACCTTTGTTGGTCAATAAATTTGATATCATTACAATTATAACTATAATGGAGTTTGCAGTGATGTCAAACTTATTGACGTAAGTTTGCGTGATTAAGACATATAGTCGTTTTATAAGAGTCTGGTCTCTTTGTTTCTAGCTGTGGACGTGCGCATTAAGCCAAATGAATTGGGTTGCAGTCCTGCTCCCATCTTTACTAGTTAGTCTGTTTATGTTGAAGGAAAGAGCTGAGCATTTTGACAATTTAATAAAGTAATGTTGCCAATAAGCTGCCCTTGACCAAGATGAAAAATGTCCACCCCCAAGTGGATTGCAAAATGTCAGGGAGAGCTGACACCCAACACCCCAGTGAAAACAACACACACACATATTATACGCAACTGCCCTCCAATGGTGTCCCCCTTCTCTTTATCCCTCTATTCTGTTCTCTGCAGGTGGTAATTGTGCGTGTGGGGGGGTTATTAACTAATGGCTGATGTTGTTTGATGAGGAAGTGTTATCAGCAGGTGGGCACTAAGCTTACCTCAAAGACTGAAAGTCTCAAGTTCTGCACGCTCGAGTAGCTTCAGCTGCATTTTGCTTCCTTGTCTACACTTGAGATTTTATGCTATTAAGACACTGCTGATGGCAAGGTGTTTGTACAGTAACACATAATGATGGATACCCTATCATTGCCCTTCACAGTCTATCTGAATGCAGTCCTGTAGTCATACAGGAAGTTTTACCTTTGTGAAGTTTCATTTGTCAGAAAAAGTATTGCTGTGTGTTTTTGGTTGCATTTTAATCTGAGACTCTCACGCAGGACTTCTTAGATGGATGGATAAAACTAAATTTGTTTATTGTCAGATATACTTGAGAATTAATTGTTATCATCTTGTCTATACAGCTGGCGCTTGGCATGTTCCCGTATCCACAGGTAAGGGCTTTTTTTTTAATGGATTATGGCACTGATGAATAAATGCTGGGAGTTTTGATCTGCTTCAAATGATTTTTCTGGAAGGAGTTCCTGTTGGATGTTTATTCTTGTAATAGTTTTCTTGATAGATAACAGTTTCTCTTCTTGAAATAATTTAGTATGTTAAGACAAAATAAGAAACAAAGAAAAATTGCAAACAACCTGAAGACCGCTCGGCACTGTGCTGATTAGGCTTGTTGTTGGCCAGCTTCTCCCACCCAATTCTAAACTGCTGGATAATTTTCTCTTTATTTTTTTAATTGTAGTTTTCTATTTATAGGAGAAAACTGGAATCATAACCCCCGGGAAACTGATTTCCTCTTGTTATCAATTCATCTAGATCAGTTTTTGATTTACAGTTTCAAGTGTATGAACTGCTTTTTGGGCTTATTTTTTTCCCCTCATTACACTAAGTTAAAATCCTGCTCAAATGTAATTGCTACAGAAGTGGCTTCCCAATCCCATCAAGTCTTAATTAGCCCTTTTAAGATGGGTTTATCTCACTAATCCCTAGCTGAGCAATCTCAATCTGGTTACCTCAGGTTACCTCCTGGCTGTCCACCTTTACAAAATTTGAAGGGGCAGGTCTTATTTAGGAAAATTTGTTTCTGAAGTTAGACTGATTGTGTGAGAGTATTAGTTATTTATAGATGAGCTGGGATTTTCCATTTCTGCCTGTCAGTGCATTTGACAAAAAGTCTTACACGGTGAATCAGTTATTTTATTTTTTTAATGGTTTGTTGTGTGCAACAGTTGGACTGCTCTGTTAGTCAAAACGCGCTTGAAAATAAGTGATTTAAAAGGCAGACTGTTTGGTAACTGCTGCACCATCTGCCCATGGATTGGCGAGTTACTGATTATTTTCAGGAACGCCAGTTATCCTTCCCGAGGACAGGAGACATTCAATAAATGAACGAGCCGGACAGCTTTTATAAGGCTTAAAAATCTCAGGATGTATGCATGAAAATGTGCTCTTGTATGCCATTGGTCTTTTGGCTGATAATGTCCATTGCCTCTGTTTAATGATGTTCTCCAGTAAAAGCCATTTGTCATGTGTTTTGACAGGAATTTATTCAGCACCTCTTTTTGTGCTTTCACAGTAAACATCTGTCTGCGAGACTGATTAGAGTCGCGATGTAGCTCTTGACTTGTTTTCGGCGTCGATCGTTAATTCTTAAGTACGATGAAAAGCAAGTGCAGGAAAGCAAAGGTGTAGATCGTGTAGTAACGTAAATGTCATACAGTGATCGATCTGTGCGCCTGTAGCCTTGGGTGTGTCTGATTTGCGCGCTCTCCTCTCTTCATTTGATTCCGTCATTATCATGTTAATCGCTAATGTACGAGAGGCACTTTAGTCCTCCCTCGTTGATATAAAAGGGGTGGACAAAATAGAAACACCTCTCTGTTTTTGGTAAGGCTCTCTACCATCACGCAGCTTTCCTCATCTCGGTGTTAATTTTCCCCTAACTCCATATGGCACTGCAGACAGTTCACCTGCAGGCTGTAGCAGAGCAGTGTGGCGAGAGCGCTCGGATCCAGCTCGTCAGGCGCAGCCTGCCAAAGTCCTCGGGCCTAAGCTGTCATTTTTGCAGACGCTGGCACAGCTGTCTGTGCAAAACCCCCTGCTACACTTCACAGAGAACATTTTAGCACAGGCTCAGAAAGAAGTTGTAGAAGATTAAAAGAGGGAGGAAAAATTAGAAGAAAATCTGTGGCGTCTGAATTTTTACTTAGTGAAAAATGCTGGATGACTTATTAAAGCGGTGTGGCGTTTAGATTTCACCCTTTGAAGGAAGTAAAGGAAGGGAGCGTGTGCGCGTTCCACTTGCTTTTATTTGTCGGACGTTGTTTAGTTAATGGATTATCCTCCATTCATTGTTGTGTGAGTGTGTATGCATGCACAGTGGAGTCATCACCTCATGTTTGTCATGATTAGAGATTGTCTCTTTAATTCCACTTCACCACATGTCGGGATTCATTTGCATTCTTTGTCAGGAGTTAATGGAGTTTTGCACGGCTCGCTCTGAAAGTCTTTGAAGACACCAGACCTGATGTGATGTGTATACAGCCGCCAGCAGTATTGTATCTGATTGATTTGTTGTCTTTTTTGCTTGCTTTATGCTTGCTTTTGTTTCTCTTCATTTTGTCATGTTTTTTTTTCTCCCCCCCCTCAAATTTGAATGGATTTGTGGATGAAATGCCGTGTCAATCTTTAGTGTGTCTGTTTCAGGAACTTTCATTACACGTCAGCGCATCCATCAGAGAGTATAGATGCTTTCCTTTTGTTGCTTTGTTTTTTCACTCTGAAATGAAACGGAGAGGAAATGGTATCTGTTCCCACAGTGTAGTGTGTGTTGTAAACAATGTTTGCTGTAATTTTTTAGCTCGCTACAGCAAATCCAAACTGCTGCATACTTTGTTCGATCACGTGTCCTCCGTCAGCAAGCTAGTTAACATATTGTTTCAATAGATAAGTAATCAATATGTGAAGTCTTAACATATTACAGGACCTTTTGTTTATTGCAGTGCTAATTATTGTCGCTTGCACATTTTTGGACGTTTCGCTTACAACTCATTTTGGCTCATCTGTGCAGCCGAAAACTGATTTTAATGATCTGTTGTCTTGACTTGATAGCGCTTCCTTTAATCAATCACGTTGCAAATCTAAATTTAACACTTAGAGAATCTAATTTGAGCAGTATTCCTGTGGCTAAGGATGAAAGGCTGGCAGCTGAAGGAGAACAGAGATGAGCTGCTTTCATTGCATGATGTTTCATAGCCTTCATTTTCAGGGAAACGCATCTCAAGCTAATGCAACAGCATGCTTGTTGTTGACCTAACAGCTACGAAAACAGAGGTGCGGACCTCTCATTTTTATATATATATATATA